AACTGGCAAAGTTTTGAGCAGTCTAATAAGATTAAGTATCTATCACTATATAAGTAGATAATTTTTCCAAAACTAATTTAAAAAGACTGCAATCAGCAACAAAACAACTATTGAAAAATAAAACCTCTCTTGATTTTTGCGGCTTTTAAATAATTACAAAAAATTTCATAAAGAAATATACGATTTTAAGCACCGTTGTCGCTTTGATAATTTTTAACCAAAATTGGTAATTTTTTTTTCATTTATTTGGTAATTTATTAACCGACTTCCAAAAAAGGAGGAGGTCAACAGTTCTTCGGAATATTTTATTTATTTTTTTATGCATGTTACAGCATAACTTTGGACCACGTCAACCGATTTCTATAATTATTTTTGCATCGGAAAGGTAGTGTCTTAGAGGTAGTCCCATATTAATCTGCTTTAGATGCGATCAGTGGATCATGAAATATATATATATTTTTTTTTAAGTCGTTTTGTTTGCTAAAAATTACTCGTTTTTCAATTTGGTAACTTTTTCGATTCGGTCCTACATGTCACATAGGTCAATACAGGAACTGATTCCATATTAGAAAGTGTCCCGTAAGCGTTTCCTTTCATATAAATAACGAATAATCCTGAAAGTTTCGCAAGGCGAAAAGTTGGTCCAGCGTTCCTTGGTTCTAGAATGGTGTGATCCCTAACAAAACTGCTTGAAAGTGGCTATTGCTATATCTACCGAGCCCTATCCTTGAAGTTTTGGGTGGTCCTACCTTTCCTTGTCAGTTCATCAGCTTTGCATTTGCCATCAATATACCCGTGTACTCCGGCAACCATATGAATATACTTCTATTTATGAAAAATGTAAAAATCATCGATGTTTTTGCAAAACCGCCCATCGGCCCGTTTGAAAAACTTCCAATACGTCGTTCTGGCAAAAATGGGATTTGGTAACGCTGAATTTCAGGCAACGAGATTTATGCATATAAATTTTAAAATCGTTATTAAAACAACAGATTTGTAAAATAATAGCTAGAGAAAATATCGCCTATCAAGGCAATGCCTTCAAAGAAAAACCGTTTTTTCGCTTTCCTGTTAAATTTGAGTGCCATAAGATAGGCGGTTTTGCAATTTTGGTCGATTGGCGGTTTTGCAAAAACATCGACGATATGTTTTCGCCTAAAAAGCTATGGTAATCAGTAGGGCACTTCACGTGAGTCGAAACCTTTCAGGGCTGCCTTGAACCGTTGAATTTTTGAGATATTTTCCGCCATTTGTTGACATATGTATGTACATGTATGTTGGTCATAACTGGACAAACGTTGATTTTAAAGTGCTCCAAATTTTAAGGTTTAAGTATTCGCATAAATACGGCAATCCGAGTAGCCTCATAAAAAGTCCAATGAGGCCAAGTCGGATGATCGCAGTGGCCAAATGAAATCCCCTCTACTGAAAATTATGTGCCTGATAATCCTCTGTTGCAATGAACGGTATCCATGACAATGCGAATGATCATATGTCTTCAGTTGTTTTGTGACCTGAGCTTTGTATGAATGGAGGTGTATGTATATCCAAATGCAAAACATACTATTTTCAGCCATAAGACAGTACCACGCTCATATAACGACACACAATTGACAAATTTGTTTCTTCGGCCACACTTAGGTTTGAAATCATAACCAAGCATTTCTGGTGTTGTAGCTTCCAGCGCTCACGCTGATATAAAAATTATAGCTTAATGGAGCGCTGATTGCCTGGGAAGCTTCGTGTCTTCAGATATACATATATGTACAAACATATGTATGTATATTTCAGCACATAAAATAATTTTGGTAATTTTTTGTTGAATTTGGTAACTCTTTCTGGGGATTTTGGTAAAAAATAAATAAATCTTGTGGCAACACTGATTCTAAGGAATAATCCATCTATGCTCGATATACATACATACATATAACCAAATAAAAACCAGGACGAAATATTTAAGGCAAGTTTTGGCTATTTTTCTTTATTTAATTTAATGTTTATTATTTTTTTATGAAAGTATAGCCGATTACTTAACAAACACGATATAAAGCTAAATTTCAGACTTTGCGCAAAAATTATGAAAATTCAGAAAAGTTTTATCAAAATTTCTTAGAGTTCAATTCGACATTTGTTTGTTTACATTTTCTTATTCACATTTAGCTTCTGTCCGAAGTAGCCGCGGTGTAGAATACCAACCGTTGCCAAAAAAATAGAAAAAGTGACTCAGTAGAACTTTTCATGCTGATTGCAACCATACCAAGTTTATTTGGCACAAATAAAAACCAAACCCAATAAAAGAGGTTAAAGTTAAACTTTTATATTTTTTTTATATTTATAATATCTCGGTAACTATTTGAACGATCGCAAAAGTATTGATACTAATTCAAAGATAATTTAAGTACCGTTTACGCGACGTAAATAGTATAAGCCTTTTTAAAACAAATTTTAAATAAAAGCCATTTCAAAAAAATATATATTTATATATATTTTAGTTATTAGGTATTTCTGGCCTAAAAAAATAAAAAAATGAGAAAGTAATGTAAACCAAGTGGAAACCCTTCAATTCGGTTTATTTAGATGGAATTAGTTTTTTCACAGGTTATGATGTCGAACAAATATTATTTAAAAAAAGGAAAAAATTTAACTTTAATTATTGATATTTTCTTTGTTTTTTACTTCCGCCAGATAATTTTGGTGGGATTGAAATCAGCACTAAGAGACCTATCGAGCCACATTTTTGGTTTTGGCATAGCTAGATTGTTGATATTCTAGACATATGTGCACGGAGCGACCTCGGACTATTTCTGATTAAATCCTGCAGTACGGGAACAGGCTAACTGTCGGAAAATTGGTTGCAGGTTTGGATTATCAAAGACACAAACCAATTTCAGTAAAAAAAGGTTGCATTTCCAGGAACTCCAAAAAAAGTGGTGTTTAAGGAGAGTTTAACGAAAACTTTTTGAATGGTAAACTCCCAGTTTATGCGTAGTGTTTAACGCTAAATACCAAAATGGCCGATAAACTCGAGTTTATGGCTCAACCTGAACACAATATTGGATAAGTTGAGCTGAGGTGGGATGAGTTTAGGCCAGATAAACTGAGTTGAGGTGAAATACTCTTAGTTGGGGTGAGATGAATTGAGTTGAGCTGAAATGAGGTGAGTTGGAATGAGGTGAGTTAGGGTGAAATGAGAGGAACTGATGTGAAGTTAGTTGAGGTGAGATGAGTGGAGTTGAGGTGTTTTGAACTCAGCTGTTGTGAGTTGAGATGAAATGCATAATTCAACAATATAACATAAAATAACTTAACATAAAACACCACAACATAACATAACAAAACAAAGCGTTGCAGTTTTACCTTTTTCTTTGCCTTTGAATCTACCTTTATCACTATATCACTTTCTCAGTCTATCGTTTTTTGAATTTACCTTCCTCTTTGTATATGTCTTTAGAATTTTTTACTTTAATTTTAATCTTTGCCTTTATCCTTTTCTTCTTATACATACTCAACTTTATTTTATTCCTTGAATCTTACAGCCCACATCATTTACAAAATTCATCGTACGACTACTGTCATAATTACTGCGTCTAAAACCCAGTATACGGGCATGTGCTGCATCGTACGATTTGAAATCGGTATTTAATTCTTGTTCACCACTTCTTCCAATATCGATAACGCGGGACTAAAATTATTCTTATTTGACGCTGTAACCGCTTAAGCAATTTTGGCGGAGCTCAACAAAGCACCCCAGTAGTTTCTTTTCTGTGCCAACTGACGTAATTTGAAAATGCCAAGTGAAGCCAATTCCTTCTCCACTTGTTCTTACCATCGCAGGGGGGCCTCCCTCTTCCTCTGCTACCACCAGAGGGTTCCGAGTTGAACAATTTCAGAGCTGAAGCGCCGTGTCCATTCAAACCACATAACGAAGACAGCGGAGCTGCTGTAGTTGAATTCGTTTGTGAAGCTCATACAGCTCATCGTTCCATCATCTGCGACACTCGCCGTCGCCAACGCGTAAAGGGCCGTAAATCTTCCACAAAATCTTTCTCTCCGATACTCCAAGAGCCGCCACAATGGATGTTGCCATTCTCCATGCTTCTGCGCCATATACCAGCACGGGCATGATGAGTGACTTATAGAGTGTGGTTTTCGTATGTCGAGAGAGGACATTCAGGAGTGCCTACTTCGTCCAAAGTAGCACTTGTTGTCAAGAGTGTTTCTGCGTTGGCTTTCCATGCTGACATTATTATCGGTATTAATTCTGGTTCTCAGGTAAGCTAAGTATGCTTAATACGCTGACTGTTTGTTTGATGACAGGAGATACTTCGTCTTGTCCTGGTTCGCTTTGCTTCCTTATCCAACTTGGAAAAGGCAGAACAGACTTCGCGGTTTTTGTACCGATGATGTCGATGTCATCGGCTTACGCAAGCAATTGCAATAAATTGTTCCTGAGGGGTTCAGCTCTGCAGCTCTTATATACATATTGTCCAGCTTCAGAGGAAAGATCACTTGAAAGGATCTCGCCCTGTCTGCGATCCCGGTTGGTGGTGAACGGCTCTACCATCAATCAGTCATTAAAATTACGTAAATTCTTAAAAAAGAACTGCGAGAAGATTTCAAAACCCCTTTCGACAACACGAAAATAAATGTGTAATATGGCTGTATAAATTGCCTTTGAGCAACACTACCAGCTCCATCAGGATTAGGATTTAGTGTCATTGTGTCATGTTGGAGATTGAATAATAAGAGCTGTAGAACAGAAATGCTCAGGAACAATTTTATGCAAGAGTGGAACAAGCGAAGAAGTACTTGGCTTCAAGTGCCCCTTTCCAACTGGCGTCAGTTAGCACAGAACTAGGTTTGTTATTTACTCTACTTGATGCGGCCAAAAACGCATACGAGGTCAAAACGCCAAACAAGAAGATTTTCTTTTATTTAATTTTATTTTATGAATGAAAAAAATGCAAAAGAAAAACAGTTATTATAAGGTTTTGGCTTCGTTTATCACAAGTATATCATATATTTATCGGTAAATGCTTTTTTATCGTTAACAAAGTAAACTTATTAATCTTTATAAAGTAAAAATTTTTCTTTACATTGTCTTATACAAATACTACAGCATATAAGCATAGAATACAAATCGTTTTTTTTTTATTACACATGAGTACTCTATGCATATGTAAAATTTGCTTTGAGTGCATGCGCTCGTGTGTAGGTTGTATAGTGTTTTATAGTCACTACATAAACAAATTTACATATTTATGCATATACATAAGTGGTTTTGTATTTTTTTCTAACCGGTGACCCGTCCTTGTAATCCAATCGATCAAGTTTCACACTTCACCTGGAAGCCGTTCGTTATTTCATCTAAAGTGTTCTGCTTTTCGTTTATAGCTTTGGCTATTAAGTATAAAATTGTTACGCGCGTGCGTTAGGATTTTTTACTTCCTTTTGATATAATTCATATTAATTTGAATAGGTGCCAATGAAAGCGTTGCAATTTGGACAATAATGATTTGCATTTTGGCAGGACTTCATGCAATAGGGTACACACACGCAAGGCCAACAACTGAAAGTGAGAAGAAAGAGAAAGAATGGTTAGTTTGCTATGTTTTTTTTACATAACTATGCACCAATTTTTATATTTTTAAATATATTTAATAATCTTTGTAAACAAAATATTGAAATGTGTTAATCATGCTTAATGCTTGGCGGTTCGAAAACGCAAACTCAGAAAACGGCTGCAAAAACGCCGCGAATAGGTCTTAAAACAGCTGGATAAAGCCAGCGGTGAACGTTTTTTTCTAACAGCTTTGGCCCCTCTACTGGCAACGGAAAATCGCCGAGCGCATTTCTGCCTTGAAGAAGCTTTTCATTAAAACCACTGGCCGTTCGAAGGTGGCGTAAAATGGTTGGTCCTTCCATTTGTGATATAATAACAGAATGCACACCAAAAATTGGAGGAGAAGCTCGGCCAAGCACTTAGCAAAAGTGTAAGCGCCAAATATTATTGTTATGAAACGTTTTGATGTTAAGTCGAATTGTTTTGCCTATAGCACTTTTGGATATGCATTGTTGTACAGAAGCTTTCCTGTGTTTGCAGCTAAGCATCGCATCCCACTACTTTGTTTAATTGTCGTTGAGTTGGCCATGGTATTTTTAAATATTTTTGCAAAGTGATAAGTTCCACTTGATATCTCACAAAGAGGCTTCTGTCTCAAATCGCATTTTTAGTCATGTATAAAAATAATACTTATAATATCGATTTATTAACAGTACATGATGGAATGTTTTTAATAAGAGGTAAAGAATGCATCCCGAAAGATAGAAAGATAAACAACTTTATGGTGGTATTGATTTTGTAAAAGTTTATAAAATGCACAAAATCAAACATTCCGTATCTTTATACTTTAAATATTTTCAAATAACTGAGAAAATTTCATGTTATAGTTACTCGCTGGATAAGTTTTTTAAACTTTTGTTTGAATCAAATATTTCGTGACGCTATTTTCTTAATTTCCATTAAAAAGTCATCTAACTTTTCCAAAGTTTTAGACCATGAAAATTGTATTGCATTATTTTCGTACGCCAACCACAGGCTTTTGAATCTAAAAAGTCATAACCCTAATGCATCGTTACATGATCTTCAAAGTTGTATGATTCATAACCATTTACTGGATGCTTATGTACATATTTATTAGAAGATAATGTTATAGAATTTATGTCGAATTGATAAGCTGAACAAATTGTATGACGTATGAGAAATTCCTTGAAAAAGGTATACATACAGTTTGTGAGTCACTTAGCTGATAATAGTTATCAATATCATTTACATTAGGAAGCCCCACAAAAAAAAGTTCTGTTTTACAATGGAAAACGTTCGGTTTATATACATACTTTGTGGCTTCTAGTGCACTGAATCGGGATCAAATTAGATAAATTTCTAAGCTGGA